AGAGGCAACGGAGGTGGCTGAAGTTGTTCAAGGATTATGATATCACTATCTTATATTATCCGGATAGGCGAATGTAATAGCAGATGCTGTGAGTAGAAAGGTGGAGAGCATGGAGAATTTTCCTTATTTTTAGTATTTGATACTCCATTTGTTTTGCTTTCGATTATTTCGAATTTATGTCGGAAAATTTCCTTGTTTTTATAAAGGGAAGTGATTACATTAGAGTGTTGTTTACCCTTAAAAATGGATAACAATTGAATTTATACGCGGTTTTAAGTATATGTGGATTAATTCAATACAAGTGATCAATAACATTAGATAAGCGTAGTAAAGATACAATAAATAACAAAATCAGTTGTGGTATTAAGTCCGGGCCAGAATCTGAGCTTAACAATCGTTCTGCCCTCGATCTGGAGCGAAATATATATGAAGAGCTATGAGCAAAAATAAGAACTTTTTCTTAACTTAGAAGTAGAGAGAAAACAAGTTTATGTTGTCTTGATATGCGTGTAATAGTGTCACATTGAATAAAAATCACCTTCTTGATATGGTAGAAGAGTTTCATTCCAATTACAATTCTAAGAAAGGTAAAAATCTTCTTTTCCGTTAATCACTGATCTGCTGCTGATACGGGCTGAAATTGGCACCGTGATATCCGGTTGGGCGCGGATATCACGGCCCTTCGTTAGTCATGTGCAACCGTTCGGTAGTGCTCTCCGAGGTCTTGGAGCTCGAACAGAATTCGGGGGGGATTGTTTCGATGGATCTAGTNGTCTCGATGGCTCCGGTGGTAAGCGCCTCGTTCGGTCTCTAGTACGAGAGGTTCCTAGCTTCGATTTCGATTCTATGTAGTCATGTCCTTGTTTCGTTTGTCCAACCGGGAAATCGGGGTGCTCATTAGCCCCGGTTTTACCCGTATACAAGTGTCACTTTTATGTGGCGCATCTATGAGGTCATCTGTACTTAATTTTTCTTTTTTTGGAAATATGATTTGAAGAATGACAACTTTTAGGGAAAAACTCACCACTTCAATTTAAAAATCATTTGCGCGTTTACTCTTAAATTAAATTTGCTGGTTCCGTCTCCCTACCCAAAGAAAGGAACAAAAACATCCAGAGGAAAAAGTAGAAAACAATACCTTAATTTATTACAAATGGTACTAGCTAATTATGTTGTCATATATATTTGGATTTCACATGGGTTGTGTTTCAAAGGAATAAACCTAGGATCAGCTGCTAATGAGACACTAAGATCTGTATTGTCAGAGAATATGAAATAAAAATTTGTGCTTGAAATATTAATGCAAGTGGACACCCTTATCAAATTATAGCTCTCTTAATTATCACAACTTTCCCTCAACATAATAAACACATATACATTAAGATTGCTAATATAATATTGTGACCAGAAATAGTAGCGCTGATCACTTTAAAGCTTCAATATATGTATAAAACATGAAGGTGATTCTGGACCACAAAAATATTTTCATGTACAATACTAGCAAGTAGCAAAGGTACATCACTAAATATCACCAAACACACACACACACACACACACAAAAAGCATTTTTTAACTGGTTCATTAATCTTCTCTATCAACTACTCAGCTAGAGGATAATGCTAGAATTTGATGATTTAAGAATCAATTGAGAATTTAATTAGTAACAATTGAAAATGATTATTAAATAACGGAAATAGAGAAAAGCAATTGAAATGGTCTCCTTTCTTGCAGCAAGGTATGTAAATATTGCAATAATGTTTTGGGATAAAGGAAAATTTATTTCAGAGAGAATCTAGCACATTAGATATATAGATCTAAACTTGGCATAATTGTCAAAATAACTATTTAAGTTTATTATAAAGTTTCCAATTAACTTTTGCCAACTCATAGTGTACCAAGTCTTTGGGACATAAATATGCTACTTTAGAAGGAAATCGACAGCTAATGACAGCTTAAAATACCATAATAGTGTGAATAATTGGGAAAAATTAGTAAATGGTCATTCTTTAAAATTGCGATTGCATATGGCCTAACATTAATGCAAATATTCTAGTCCAATCGATCGCAACTAATTTGATTTGATGAATGGTTGGATTGATTAAGGCAAAAAGTCTTTGATCTCATTGCTTTTCTCCCTGTATACGGTCAAAATCAGAGGACTCCGATTATAGGATCGAGGGTTCGTCACAGGCCCGAGTTCAGGCAAGGTCGAGTTCGAAATCGGTGGACCAGACTCGAGCTCGTAGACAGAGTGTAGTGCCCGGAGATAGGAATTCGAGGAATACCGAGGCCAAGTGTGCTCGACCCCGAAATAGTACCGCTATGGGTCTGTAACAGAATGAGCTAGATTTCTTCCACGTCCCCAAGATCATGGCGCAAATCCCGGAATAAGATTGTACGATTCCGTACTAGGCGGTTAGACAGCTGTAATAAGAATATTTCCTACTGTAAATAGAAATATTCCTTATTTAGGGCTCCCCTATTATAAAAGGGGGACCCAATCATTTGTAACATCATATTATCACTGAGAAAAGAATATACACTCTACCTTTTTCGCCTGTTTTTCATCAGCATTGTCCTTTAGCTCTATTGTTCTTACTTTGCTTTTATTATTTAATTGTTCTTATAATACCAAGCCTACCTCGAGGTCCCTGGGCTCGAGGTCACTGCTATTGAGTAACATTGGTTTGATTCACTTCTCTCTTTCGTTTCTACTTCATACTTCTTGATTATTAATTGGTATTGAATTAAATCATGTATCTTTAAAACCACAAATCAAATTTAATTGTTACTCGTATTTTCGAGGTAAACACTCCGAAATAAAGAATGAAAAAGGATGTGTGATAAAAAAAAAATAGTTGTAAAAAGATGTATGATAAAATAATTAAAGTCAATGTCAAATACACAGAAGAAAGTTCTTTTAGATGTAAAAATAGGGGAAAAAACTGCAGTCTAGGATATATTGCAATGTTTTTATTTTTTGTTTTAATTCGTTGACAAAGGTATATTAGTCGGGAGAAAAAACAAACAGGGAAGCAACAAATTGTTAACAATTACTACAGTTTTCATCGTGAACTTTTTTACCTAATTAAGATCCTTAGAGTGTGGTTTCATTTTTTTTACTTCCTTTTTAGTTAGTGCTTAATTGTAATTTTACCCTCAAATTTTTTTTTTTTAATTCATGTATTTTTTGATTAGTTTTTGAGAAAATAATTACTTTGAGTGATTATCTTATATAATTTTTGTTGATCAAATACACTTTTGTTGATACTTGAAAGAAACAACGAAGTTTACTTGTTAATGAAGAAAATTGTGTGGACACCGAACTCCACTGAAGTTTTATGGTCCAACGTAACCCTGAAAAATTAACTATCATCAATATATAAACATGTTTAAATTCAAAACTTTCACTACTAACAAAATATGAATTCGCGACAAAACAAATTCTGTAGCTAAACGGAATTTATTGTTAATTTAATTTAGCGATAAAATATCAAGAAATTCTCTTAGCTATGAGTGATCTAGTATCGAAGTTCGTAACTAATTTTAGTCTCTTTTTTGATGTGTTTAGGACCCCCCTCCTCCCTATATATATATATATATATATATATATATATATATATATATATATATATATATATATATATATATATA